AAATTTTAATATACAATACATATATAAGTTTTTTCATTTTGAATAGTGGCCGGATAATTTTGATCGCCCTCTGTAAAAACCACTATCGCAGCTTCAGTTTATTAAAAAAACTTAGTAATAACCACTATTGTAGCTTCAATTTACTAAGAAAACTTAGTAATAACTGCCATTGCAGCTTCAGTTTTACTAAGAAAACTTAGTATAAATCACCATTTCAGCTTCGTAACTATTTTATTATTAAAAAAATGTTTTTGAAGCTGCAGAGGCATTTTTTTACTAGGTTTCTTAGTAAAAAAGGTTTCCGAAGTTGTAGAGGCATTTTTTACTATGGTTTTCTTAGTAAGAATCACCCTGAAGCTTTGGAGATGCTTTACTATTGATTCGAATCAAATCAAATATTCAAATATCAAATTGAATTGTGAAACCCTACTACCTGCTACTTTTAGCATATTGTAATTATATATAGTTTAATAAGAATAATGTCTTTTAAGTAAAATATTTTTAGATTTTGGATTATCTTGAAATTATTTTAAACAGTGAATATTAAAAGTTTTTTGAAGCTAAAAATAATTTTTTTTATTTTTTTACATATAAAATATTACATTTTTAATAAGTACTTTAAACTGTATAAATAATATATTTTGTAATTGATAAAGATTTAGCAAATATGTAAAAATCCTTCTATAAGTATATAGTGATAAATGGTATTATCATTATAATTAATTTTTAATTAAATTTACTTATTAAAATAAGTTTAAATTTCTTATTAAATTTAAAATATCTTTAAAATATTAGATTTAGGATCTAGATTCTAATTAAGAATATTTTTAATTCTAAAGAATTTTTTTATTTTAAATTAATAAAAATATTTATTTATAATAATAATTAAAAAGATAAATTTATTATTAAAAATTTAATTATTAATATATAAATAAAATTTATTTTTAAATTCATTAAGACCAATTACAGTGAACTCTTGATATAACGAATTCTAGGATTTGGATATCAATTTCGTTATAAGCTTATAACGAATTTTTTAAAGAATTTAATTAGCTAGTTCACTATAGTAAGGTAATTTTAATAAAAATTCGCTATATCAAGGGTTCGCTATATCAAGATTTGACTGTATAACTTTTTAGGATTTTATTAACTATATAAAAATAATTTATTTTATATTTTTTTATTTTTTTATTTTTTAATTTTTAAATTTTTAAAATCAAATATTTAACTTTTGGATGTTCATTTCAACTTTATGTATAAATGAAATTATTTTTAAAAAACAATAAAATTATTTTAAAAAAATGAATTTTAATAATAAATCATTTGATTAAAATAAAAAATTGTTTTATTTGAATATAAAGAATTTTTTGTTAAAATAAAAATTATTATATATTATTATAATATTTGAAATTATTCAATTGTTAGAATTGGCCTATTGAATGTAAACAAATTAAATATAATTTAATTCATATTAAATAAACCATATTTTCAAATGAAATAATTTTTTGATATATTTTTAAATTTTTAAATTACGAATCAGATAAGTTAAATCAAGTTGATTCAAATCAAAAATATTTTAATTTATTTAATTTGAATTAGCAATGATACTATCTGAAATGCCAAAACTTAATAAAATTAATATTTGAAAAAAAATAAGTTATATGATAAAATCTATAATAAAATGGTAAACTTGATAAAACCAAAAACCCAAAGTTGGCAAAACTAGTTTAGGATAATAAAAAATAGTTTTGACAAATATTATTATGAGCCAGATTATAAGTTTGACTTAAAATGATTCTTTTTATAATTCTAATAGATAAAATGTTTAATTATTTAAAGAAAAGTTGCTAAATAAAATCTAATGTTTAGCCAAACTTTTAAATGTTTAAGTTAAAGCTTGGTTAAGTTATATTAAAACCTTATTAAAAAATCTGCAAAATTCAGAAAAGGTATAAATAACTATATCAAAGCTTATAAAAATGGAGAAATTGTATCAAACCTTAGTAAAAATTAGTAAAACTAAAGGTTTTGACATTTAGCCAAATTCAAAATAAGTTTGATAAACAACCTTAATGATAAAAGAAAAATTTCATTATTCTAAATGAATGATAAAAGAAAGTCATTCCATTAGAATGATTTAATACCATTTTAAAGGAATGATAAAAGAAAGGTCATTCTAATAGAAAATTAAAAATATCATATGATAAAAGAAAATTCATTCCAACGCTAAAAGAGCAATTTTTAATAAAACAATTCTATTTATCATTCCTTTAGAACAATTTTTCTTTTGGAATAATTCTTTTTATCATTCCTTTAGAATAATATTTTATTATTTGATCAGAATAATTTTTTTATAGTTCCTTTCAAATAATGCTTATCGTTCTATTGGAGCGATTTCTTTTTTATCAGAAAAGCGCTAGTAATATTTAGAATGCGTTAATAATATTTAGTAAGATTAGAAAGAAAAGTTAATTGATCTTAGTGATCTATGTAAAATAAGCGAAAAAAAATTAACTTCGCGTGTTATCTTTCTTCTGCTATGTCCTTAAAACGATATAAACAGATTTAAACAAAAGAAATTTTTTAATTCGTTCTCGTATTTAGTGGAATGACGTCATTTTGAGAATCGCAACTAATTTTTCACCAAACGTCATACAACCCACTAAACGATATAGAGATTTCTGTAAGAAGTGTAACAAGGAATATTATTGTATCCAAAACATTTCTTCGCTTGAAGATTTTCTCATAACTTTGGTTCCGAAAATCTTACAATAATCAATTTGTAGGACTTCTGTGCTATAAATTTGCATAATTTGCTTTTTAGTTTTATTTCGAAATAAAACTAAATTCATTTTGAACGATATTAAATATGAAAAAGGTGCTAAATAAAAATGAAAAGATTTTGGAAGTAGAGGGAGGAATAAAGTATGAAAAAATAATCTTTGTTTAAAGCACTCGGGAATTTCATTTAGTCTTCATAATCAAATTTGGTTAAAATTGATGTTTTTTATCATTAACTGCGGCATTGAAGATCAATTTCTTTTTTGGATTTTTTTTTTATGTAATTAAAGAATCATCTGATGATCAATTAAAAGTTGAACGTCTACTTTTCTCTCCTACCTTTTTTTTTATTTTATAAAAGATGACACTATTTCCAACAGACATTCTTGAAGAGATCTTTGAAAATCTTGAATCTTCAATTTCTACATTACATTCTTGTCTTTTGCTTTCACGAGTATGTTGTAAGGCGATAATCCCAATCCTATATCGTCAACCATTTCGTTATACTCGACATAATCCTTCACCGAAATTAATTAAAACTTATTTGTACAACGTAACGTCAAAAGATTTATCGCTTATCCTTAAGGATGACTTAGATTTATTAAAACGGTTCAACATCGAATTATCGGATTCATCAAATAAAGATTCTATATTCAATTATCATTCATATTTAAAAAGATTAAATTATCGAGATTTGTATGATTTTGGTTTGATTTGGTACAGACATATTCAAAAACAATATGATATTAATTTTAATGATAATGAGAGGTATAAATTTCTTAATCCAACGGAAAATGACCCTTACAGTCAAGAACCCATGAAAACATTATCAAGAATTTTATTAAACTTTTTCATGATTAAAGGTGCTAAATTTGATTACCTTTTAATGGATTCCGGAAAGGAATTGATCGGTCATTATAACATTGATGATGATGATGACTATGATGACGTTGAGAATTATGTGGAAGAGATTGATGATGATGACAGATACCTTCAACCTCCTACCATTTCATTTCCCGTATTAGATAATTCAAATGAATTCATTGATGCAATTAAAAGTCTTCGAGAAGAAGAAGGGGGAGTTGATGGTGATCAAGATGTTAACGATGTCAACCCTATATTGAAAAATTGTTTGGAGAATTTAAAAATTTTTGGATTTTATGGTAAAGGAAAATTTCAGGGGCAGACTCTTGATATCATTTCATCTAACTGTCAAGGTCTTCAATCTTTAATAATAAATTTGACTGTGAATGATGAATGGAATACGGCAAGGGCTAAAAAAGAGATAACAAGCTTAAATAATTTAATTAATAATCAAAAGGTTCTAAAAGACTTTATTTATGTTGAATATCAAGGAAAATTTTGGTGGAGTCCCTCTTCAAGGTTAAGGGATATTGAGATCGATTTTTCTCATCATGTGCATAATTTGTTGGTCGTGGAATTTTATGATGTGTACTTTCAATTATGGAAACCGTTAAACATACTAGCCTCATTAACAAATTTACGGGAATTGGCATTTGTAAGTTGTAAATATCAAGAGAGTGTCATGGCACCATTAAAATATTCCTCTTACAAAAAACTTCAAAAATTATCAATGATTGGTTGGGATGAGATCACCTTAATTGATCCAAAAGTTGTAGAAGTTCTGATCGAAAATGCTAAAGATACGTTAAGATCTTTATCAATTGTATTAACTCATAAAGTTTCTACAATTGTATTGGAGTCGATTAATAAATTTCAACCGAATTTAGTAGAATTGGCAATAAAATTTGATCAAACGCATCTTTCCACTTTATTACATCTTCCATTTTATAGTTTTCGAAATTTAGAAAAATTAACTCTAAATAATTGGGGTCATGTTGCTATAGACGTTGATTTAATATTACCTTTATTAGGAAAATCTTTACCACAAAATTTAAAGAATTTACAAATTTTAGCACGTTGGACATTTTCAACAGAAGGTCTTAATAGATTTCTTAATAATTGTGAAGCAAAATTAAAATATATTGACATACGACATTGTACAGGTATCACTGAAGAACATATTGATCTTATTTGGATGAAATTTAGTGATAGTTTAGAAAGATTGATTATTAGGGAGATTGAAGGAAATGATGATGTGCCTTACGGCCAAATCCTTGAAGCGAATTTCCCCGCGAGCGAAGGTCTTCATTCTATAAATAATGGTAGCATTGAAGCAAATCTTTCTGAGTTTGAAGAATTTAATGTTAGAAGACCTGTTTACATTAAAAGAATTGAGATAAATCCTTCTGAAGACGAAGCTTATTCTTATGTAAGAACCGACAAACTTAGATACAGATGGGAATAAATTATGTGGAGCGTTTATTTAATTTTAAAGTTTTTCTCTTTTTCAAAAAAAAAAAGAAGGAAAAAGTAAAAAATCATACTACAAACAATTTAAATAAAAAAACAATTTCCTAATTAAACTAATAGAGGTGAGTCAATAACAGCAAACCCAGTTGCTACACCACCTTCATTAGTTTCTCTTCCTTTAGTTCTCAATAGATGACCTCCAACCTCATTAATAATAACATCTTCATTTCCAATAAATACGCCATAAATTCCTAATTCAGAGATCATTTCACCTTCAACTAATTCACCTTGTCTTAAAATAATATTTCTCATCGAAGGTGGTTGTATTAAATCCATTAAAATATACGATGATCTGTCTGATGTAGAAATTTCTGATAATTTAGGTGGGATATCTTTTGTATATATATTATTCCCTAAAAAATAAATTAATAAATTTTTTTTAAAAAAAGTAAAGTCTATAAAATGAAAAGCATATTCATTGTAATTACCTCCGCCTTCACGTTGTGGTTTCATCACAAAACGTTCGGGATTTTCCATGGCAAGCTTTACGGCTGCCTCACCTTCAGATGAGGAATCTAATGGATATAAACCTGCAAAACTTGCCCTAAGCTTCTTTGCGTCTGTTGCATTAGTTACATACCTAGATATAAAATAAATTAATTTAAAAGAAATAAAATAATAAAAAGCACTCAGTTTGTATTTACTTTTCTAAAACTCCAGGCATGGCCAAAACCTGTTGAACTTTTTTAGTACCAACAAGCTGGTATGCAACTGTTGGACATTTAATAGATTTCGATCGTTCAATCAATAATCTAGCATCCCATTCCTATTTAATTATTGAATTCAGTAATAGTTTATAAGTTTAAGGAATTGTAAGAGGGAAAAAAATACGAACTTTCTTTGTAGGGTGTAGTTCGGGCGCATATCCTGAACGGAAATATGTAACTGAAATTTCTTTATCATCTCTAAAAAATTTATATAAGATTTAAACCTTTTTTTTAAAAAAAAATGAAAATAAAAATTTTGACTTACATTATTAAAGCACGAGTTTCGGGATCTAATTTTCCTTGTTGATCTATTTCCGCGAGTGTTTTACGTATAATATGTACTTTATGACTGTAATAAAGAAAATAAATTAATTTTGAACAATATTCTAGAATTTAAATTTTTTTTTTTTTTAAATATTACTTGTTTAATAAATTATATTCAATCCATCTTTGATCAAAAGCGTTCCTTTCCTCACCAATCACAACCATCATGGCCACGGCGCTAAAAAAAAAAAATAAAAAAAGGTTTTATGAGAATTTATCAATTAATTTATTATTATTCTTTTTTTTTTAAAAAAAAAAAAATATATATTTTTTTTATTACTTTGGAGATCCATAAAGCTCATGAGCTTTTGCAATACCTTTGGGTAAACTTGTCATTGCATCATTTAATGGTAATGAATTAATCTTTAATAATTCTGAAGAATTAAAATATTTGGTGGATTCCAATAAATATCTAAAAAAATGAACAAGTCATTTGAGATTACTACAAAAGAAGACAGATTTTACAATATAAGTTTTTATACCTGTGTAATTCTCCAGTTAGAAATGATAAACTAGAGAAAGAGGAAGAAATGGTATTAAATTCAACTTGCAAAACATTAGCTTCTGTTGCATCTTGTGGAACATGTAAAAGATAATCGGATCTATGTAATCCTAAAGAAATTGGCTAGATGTATCAAAGGATTAGTTTTTTATTTTATTGAGAAAGTAAATTAAATATTAAACAACCTATTTACCTGGACAATTCCTTCTTCTTTTACTTTTAAATAAATTTTATAAAGTTTATCAATAAAATCATCGACTTTAGTTACCCTGTAATCAATTATGTTTTAAACCGATTAAAAATTAATTGTAATAAAAATTGATAATTATATTACACATACTCCTCAATAACTTTAGTAATAAATTCATGATTTCGAGATAATTTATGGAATAAAAGATTAAAAACAGGTTGTAATTCTATAGCTTGATAAAAAGTTTTTTTTGGAAAAGGTGAAGGGAATAAAGAGATAGGCGCATGCATAACCGAAGAGTTATTAGAAAGGGCAAGGTTATTTGGTGGACGTATTACTAAACCATGAGAAAGTGACCAATCTATTGCTAATTCTTTTAATGATTGTAAATTTACATTAGAAAGATTTGGAGGATATTCGGAAAAGAATGCTTTAGACATTATTATCGATTTTATTATTCAGAGAAAAAACAATATTAATCGGAAAAAAGGAGTAAAATATGTTTACTTTATATGTCTAATATCTAATATCAGAAAACCCACAGTCCCGTGAGTTATTTGTCACCGCTATTCATCACACGATGATTTTGGCCAAATTAATAAAATCTTGTGGGGTGAAATTTTATACACCACAAATAAGGATGTAGATCATGACAAGTCTAAACCAATTTTTCCCACACTGGAAAATTTCCTTATAATGAATCAATATGATGGAACCAGTCATCCTGAAGAATGGGTTAAGCAAGTGCGATTGACCTTTTATGATAAAAATAAAAATGTTGGCAGTGAACAAGAAATTGTTGATTTTTGTAAACTACATATTCCTTCTTATATCAAAATTCCTCCTGAGACCGATTCCTTTGTTGCGTTAATAAATGCCTTAAAATCAGATGTTTCTTATGAAAGCTTTAAAGGTTCAGTTAAAAGGAGATTAATAGCATTAAAAGTTAGTTTCGTTAATGAAAGTGATATTTTAACATTCTTGAATACATTTCAACGGCACTGTTATGAAGGAGAAATCAATGAAATTGGAGAACAAAAACAAATGTTCTTAAATTTATTGCCAAGAGATTCTATACAACATTCTTTTGTTCGTTTGAACTTTGATAAAATTAATTCAATGAAAGAATTACTCGAGTATTTTGATCAAAGTCTTTTAGAAGAACCTAGAATCATTAAAAAAAATTCTTTTATTACTTTAAAACATGTTGCAACTGGAAATTATTTGACTTCTAGTCTTAGACTGAGTTATTCAGATTCGCGGAATAATGTGGTTTGTATTTAACAAGATTATATATTAATTATATTTCTTTGTTTAATATTCTTATTATGCACTTCAGGTTTTTGCAGCTCCTGTTACTTCAGAGTATTTAAATAATTCCGTATGGGAAGTTTCAAAATATGATTCTCAAGATGGAAACGCCCTTTGTTACGGTAACTTATTTCAGTTGATCCAGAATAGTGAGTTGCGCTATATTATGGAAATATCTGATTCAATTAAATCTCCTGCGACAAAACATTCACAAGGTGATATTTTAACTTTTTAATATTTATCTTTTGAATTTACTCATGAAAATGGTCTTTTTTTTTTTATAATTACAACAGTATCCATTGGAAGACCAAAATCATTATCATTATATCATTGCAAAGGTGTCAATTCTATAAATTCACCTTACGTATATGATAAAGATATAGTTTATTTACAAGATAATAATGGCTTTACATTACGTAGTCATGAGTTCACTTTTACTATCCGCGATAAGAACCTTCAAGAAGTTGTTGGTCATAAAGAGAGACTTGGTGGAAATGACGAGGTATGGTAATTTAATTAATATTTTTTATCATTAATTTTAATTATAATTAAAATTCTTTATTTAGTGGTGTATCGAGCTTGCCCAACTCCCATAGTATAATGTTTATGAAAATTCTAATTGAGACGCAGTAAACTATCTTTCACACCTATTTTATCAATAAATAATCGGTCAATTCTTTGGAAAGCTACATTTATAATATAACTTTAAAATACACTTATGCTTAAAGTAGTGATTGTATACAGATATCCGGTTATCTGATATTTTTTTTTCAATAAACCGGATAACCAGTGTTTAAATTAGCCTGCACAAGTGCAGACATTTTTTAAAATGTGCAAATATAATTAAAATATTCCTGCACACATGTTGCCTTAAAAGTTAAATAAATAATTTGGTATATATCTAAAAATACTTGTATATATTTACCATATATAATAAAGTAAATTGTTTTCTTTACATTTAATAAGATAATATATATAATATAAATTGATTTCATATATGCACAGATATGCATGTATTTTATAATTTTATAATATATGCATATTATTATATTAGTCATCTGCACATTATGCAAGAACTTTTTGACTTGAATTTTAAACACTACAAATAACATCCAGTTATCTATTATAAAATATTAAGCTAATTACTTAATTAATAATATTATTTTACATGTAAAAGAAAATTACAATATTTTAAATTAATAATACTATCATGACTTGGTTTTACTGGAAACTGTTTCATATGCTTAATTTTTTTAAATATCTGCTGATAGATGTATAATAATAAAATTATAACTATTCCTTTTTAAGAACATAATACAATCAGGTTTAATTCTTGATCTTTTAACAGTTAAAAGATGAAGAATAATCTTTCAGAAGAAGTAGATGCTTCTCAGATGTTCAATAACTTTCTAACCAATTAATTGACTTATAATTGGAAACTTTTTTTTTATCATTCTACTAAGCATATGATTTTTTTCAAATGAGATTTCTTTTACATTAAATAGGACCTTTATAATAGAAAGGGAAAAAACTGCCAAAAAAATCAATTTTACTTTATCTCTTCAAAAGTTTTCCTTTCAAATTTAAAAGAAATTTTACTTACACTTTAAAGTTAATTTTAAATATATTAAAATTAGTTATTAAACCAATAATAATTTTATAATAAAATTTATAATGTTTTTTAGTAAAATCAAAAAAAAATTACACTAATTAGTAACTTTTTGCATTAATTTAAGATTAAAGTTTTGAAAATTTTTTAATAAAAGTATTTTCTTTATAAAAGCTAAAATTTTTAATTTTTA